CTAAAATTAGAGACACTAAATTACATGAGTTGTTTCTGAAGTGGTATCTGTTGTGCTGTAGTTTCATTTATAGATAGGAAGATGCAGGCAGAGATACACATGTACATATATACGGAAAGAAGTTTAGAAGTTATGGTTCTAAAGAGAAGACATTATTTTAATATAATAGGAAATATTTGGCAATATTATTTCTTCCATGTCAGTTCAACCTGGTACTTTAATAGGCCACATTCTTCTGCTTTGCAAAAGGATTTTGCAGCTTATATATTTATTATGGTGAATCAGAGAATCATAGAATGGCTAGGGTTGGAAAGGACTTTAAGATCATACAGTTCCAGCCCCCTGCCATGGGCAGTGACACCTCACACTGGCCCATGTCGCCCAAGGCTTTGTCCAGCCTGGTCTTGAACACTGCCAGGAATGGAGCATTCACCACTAAACATCATTTTAATGCAGTAATTCCCATTGCATTCATTATTAGTTTCTTTCTATAGTCAAAAAGGATGTTAAAGATGTTTTCCCATCATGGTTTGCTTACATATGGTTTATGCCTGGCAATATAAATCTTATTTCTGAGGATAGGAAGTTCTAGATGGAGATTCTAGCAGCAATTACCAACCCAGAGGTGAGTGGTCAGGGTAATGGGGGACTGCAAGGGAAAAGACCATGATGGCCCCATAGAGTTTAAGTAGGCAGTAAGGTTACAGCAAGTGACACTTTAAGAGGCAGAGATGAATGCATGATGTGCATGATGTCTGCTAACCACTTCAAATTTAATCAGAAGTTCCTGGTATGAACTTCTCAAAACTTCCCATGAGTTTTCTCCAAGCACTTCCATATCTTACTGCCACAGCCAGAAAATGCTTCCTGCCAAGCTCAGGACAGGGAAACGTAACTAAAGCAATGAGCAAGAACTCCAGCTGCCTATTCCTAACAGCTCCTTGGTTGGACTTAGTACCTTCTCTGTTAATACCAAGTCAATCCAGTTTATTTTTAATATGAATATTTGATAACATTTGCTATTTTTTATATTAATATTATAGTGAATATTAATATATAATTTTCTGCTATTGCTCAATACCTTATATTAATATCATCGTCGAATTTTGATATTGAATTTGATCAAATGCAACATTTCATTTAACCCACAACAATTTTTTAACTGAAAGCTACAATACAGAATTGACAGTTTTCATGCAGAGAACATGTGAATATGAAATGAAACACACATCATAAATAAATATGAAGTCACACGAATATATACTTATACTGTTGTATTTATAAACACGTCAGTTAAAAGGCAAATCAACTACAAAGCTGTACTGCTGTTCTGTGACTCCAGAGGGGATCAGGGAAGCCCAGAACTTGCCATGAGCTGACTGAGAGCACGTCGCCATCTGTATTTAGACACTTCATTTGGCAGAAAATCAAAAGCTGACCTAAGCTTTTTCTCCTTTGACCTAAACTTTTTTTCCTTTCTATGTTATCACTTCCTCATAGAGCAAGTCAAAGGCAGATGTTTAGGAGCCCTTCTGCTCCCCTTGCTTTGCCTCACAAGTGTTTGCACAGCACTGTGCCCAGTTCCTGAGCAGTGCAGGGGATTATTTCCCAGCGCCGATACTTACCCTTTGGCTCTTGGCAGATTGAGAGGAATGGCAGGCAAATGCCAAGCCTTCTGTGGGAGGTGGTTTCAGAAGACAGAGCGTGTTTTTTTTTCCCTGGGGGACAAGAGTGGCTGGCAGAGAGAATGCCCAGGAGACAGGAGTTGGCAGAGTTCACCTTGCACAGGCTGAACCCTCGTTCCAGCAAAAGCTTTGTGTCCCAGACTGATGGGGTCTTGTGTGCACAGCTGCTCAGATGAAAGGTTTGAATTTGTCTAAACCAAGACAGAGTCTTACTTTTCTTACAGAGAGAAACTTAAATAGCCCACAGGCTGGAGTGTTCCTCTAGAACTAGGTGGCTGAAACCAGAAAAGAGCCAAAGCCCAGCTCTTCCCCCATCTCTCTGATGATGCTGGTCACTAGAGCACACATGAATGCCCCTCACTTTGTTCCCTGTGTTTGGGTGTCCTTTGCTACATACAAAGACTCTAAACAATCCTTTACAAGATCCCAAATGATTGACTTGTGTTCTTTAGATAGGGCCATGAATCAGGAAAAAGAAAAACCTCTAGTTTCCCTCCTGCCACATGAGAACACATCCTATACCCTGCCTTCAAATACAGTCAAGGGAAGTATTTACTTCCCTTTTCATCTGTCTTTCAGTTATTGGACTGTTGCCTAACTGTTGTTTTGTTTGTTACCAGCGTGCTTTTAACAGGGTTAGCCATGGAAGGTATCTGCTTGAGGTGGTATCTGCTCACTCAGTGACTTATCCTGCAAAAGGAGCAGCAATTCCTTTTGCACAAGTCATCTCTGCTGGTTGGTGGGAAAACTCACACTGCCAAAATCAGGTAATGGAGTTGGAGTTCCCATAGGGAGGGGCTGGGGTGGGACCCTGGGCAAAGAGTTGAAGGGATGGAGGGAGAACTTGGGCACTCCCACGAATCCAAGTTAGGAGTGCCTGGCCTTTGGGCTTGATCTCATGTCTCACCTTTTAATGTCTATCGTCTCTATTACACCCCCTTCACATAGTCCCAATGGAGCTGTGTCACAGCTTAGAAAAAGCGGAGGTAGAGGAGATGCTTTAGCTCTCAGCCAACATGGTGGATTTTTATTTCATTAGAAACATTCTTAGAGACAGATACTCTTAGCTTAGGGGCAGGGTTAATCATAGAGGTGGAGTAGGCTCTTGGCTTCCCTTATGATGTGGGGATTTCTGAAGATCTGTTACTGCCACACTCAGGAAATAGCTAAGCCTAGTGGTTAGGACAAGCAATCATTAGTTTTCCTTGGGGATTTGAGGGGGAATTTTCTTTTTTTTTTGCCTCGGACATTAATGACATTTTGTCACACACTAAAATTAGATAACAAAGCTGCAAATAGTAACAAAGAAAAGTGGGATCCCTGATACAATTATTATTGCCCTATGTGTGTGCGTACATCTGTGGAGACACAGAGAGAAACAGAGAGCCCAGGGGAGAATAATAATCAAAACCTCATTCCAAGTGAACTGGTTAAAGCTCCAACATTTATGGCCCGACTCCAGTGAAACCATCCTGTGAATTTAACATGACAGACACAACATGAGCAATAAGACATAACCTTGTAAAATCCTCTCCTCGGCACGCCTTCACAGAATGCACATACTTCTTAATAAAGCTCTCTGAGACACTCAGCTAAGGAGGAGCAACATCATTACACAGAATTAGAATCAGTAAGAAGTGGGAGAGACAAACTTGGTCTTTGGTATCTTCCCTTGGGCCAGGTGACACAGTGCTGGCAAACAGGTGAATTTTCATCACAAAGTTTCTTTTATCAAGTATCCTTTTATCAAGTTTATGACAAATGGTACACAGTAAACCATAATAAATCATGGGCAAATTATTAAAGTATTACTATAAATAACTTATAATGCTGTACATGCTAAAGATAACTGAGCTTTTATGAGCTCTCTAGAGTTAGGGAGAAATACCTCTATAAATCCACAGATCACAGAAACAAGAAGCTTTGAGGTTCGAGATAACAAGCAGCAAAAGTCATCATGGTCAAAAGGACAACGTTTTCACAGCACTGAAACAGAATGGCTTCTACTAATATGGGTTAAACCCCCGAATCTTTGTTTGAACAACAGATCAGCATTTCTTCCCTGTGAAGGTGTTGAGGTCTTGGCACAGGTTGTCCAGAGAAGCTGTGGCTGCCCCATCCCTGGCAGTGTTCAAGGCCACGTAGGACAGGGCTTGGAGCAATCTGGGATAGTGGAAGGTGTCCCTGCCTGTTGGAAGTGGATGAGCTTTAAGATCCCTTCCAACTGAAACCACTCTGTGATCCTATGATTTAATCCCAAGAATTCCCCTGAAATCGTCTCCCTCACAAGGTAGTACCAGTACCCGTCCCAGCAAGTAAACAGCTGGTGTTCATGCAGCAAGGCTCTTGAACAGGAATATCTCCAGCAGTGCCGTAATGCTTCATGTTATTTCCCTTTCCTAAGACCTATAGTTATGGTCACTGAAAACGATGACAGAAAAGACCCATTAACAGTGTCTAGACTTACAAAGGAAACAAAAGCAATTGCAGTTCTGAAGGCCGTGCTATTTAGTCTGCATGCAAAGCCTCCTCTGTTCATCATTCGTTAGTATGTGTGACGTGACAAATGCAGGCAGGATTCTCAGAACTGCTCAGAATTTACTATCTGCTTCCGCCAGGAAGCTTTGAAGACTGCAGCCTCGGTTCCTTGCCTGAACAGGTAGTAGCACAGAAGAATTGACTTTGTAAAATGCCCCTTGAACATCAAAAAAAGAGCAAGGAGTTAAAATCATTGATATCAAAATAATGCCAAGGTAAAATCCTAAGCCCAGTGAAAAATCTTTTCAGTGATTTCAGCACTGCCCCATTTCCACTCCAGTGGCTTAAGATCAGATAAGTGGAAGCTATCACCAGAAATGGAGATTAGAAATTCAGTATTTCAAGTATAGAGCTGGCACCCCTACAAGGAAGAGTTATTACCCTGTAATAAAAAGTTATAAATGTAACTGAAGCCATCACAAAGCTGTATTACTCAATCAGGGTATGCATTAGAAAAAGCACGGTATTTCCAAAAGCCAACACCAGACATAGGAATGTATGGCTATTATTTACATATTTTGATAAATTAATACATAATATCATTCTCAGCAGAAAAATTTGTCGTCATCTAGGAAGCAGTTTCACAACAGTCATGTGACTCATTTGTACTGCATCTGGGAAATTCCTCTAACGCAATCCCCATGCTAGCCCAGCAGAAGCGCGGGGCACAAAGCCTTATATAAGCCACATGGATCACCCCGAGAGGTACCAGCAATCCCTCAGGATAGAAGAGCTCACTGATCCACAGAACCATCCAGCAGCAGCTCCTGTCCAACCATGAACGGCAAACTCATGGCTGTCCTGACTCTGTGCCTGATCTCCATGGCTGTGTCTCAGGGTGAGTGAATCCCTCCCGAGGACTCTAGTACTGTGTAGGCATCTCCGAGATGCTTTTCCTTGCACTGAGGTAGCTTTGCATTGGTTTTGGGAAGTTTCTTTTGGGAGATTTGCAGCAATTCCTCTTCAGTCCAAAAGTTTGCTTCAAATAGCTCTTGTGCTGATGAGTTACTGACATCTTGTGGGAAAAACCTTAAGGATGCAACTTGAATTTGCCTTGCTTCTATGTTTCACTCCAAGTGTTCACAGTGAGACACAAGATCTCCTTAAGTGTCTGCATGTTTCTCTTCCTTCCCACATAAAGAACAGCTTATGATCTCATATTTGTTACTTAATGATCATACTGCCTCAAGCAAGTAATATACAGATGGGAACAGAGAATAAATATGAACACAGAAGCATGGACAAGCCATTAATAATGAAAACTCAGGGGCTCTGTCTTCTGTGTAGTTGCCAGTTTGTCAGTCCAGATGTTGAAATGATGCAACTAACCGTACTGTGTGGCCAGTACAAGTAAACACAAACCATGTGGTTTACTTCAAAAAGATGTGTTGATTTAGTTTTCAATGTACTTGGGCATCAGCTCATCTGAAACAAGCAACTCATCTTTATTCCATAAGGATTGATTTAGGCAGCTTGAACAAATACAGTAATTTAACTGAGAATGTGGATAAACAGAGAAGTCGAGCTTTATGTCTGACCCAGCAACAGGTAGGACCACCTCTCCAACCATGTTCTTCCTTTCTTGCTCACAGGTAGGACCCTGGCCAGGATGGGAACTGAGCTCCGGTGCCAGTGCATAGCCACTCATTCCAAGTTCATCCCTCCTAAGTCCATTCAAGATGTGAAGCTGACACAGAGCGGCCCCCACTGCAAGAATGTTGAAGTCATGTAAGTAGCTCTGCAAGATCCTCGCTCTTCTTCACCTTCCCCCTGCTGCTGGAGCTTTCACACTTCATGACCATGACATGATGGGGTCAGATTTGGTTATTCTTTTGAGAGAGGCAGTTTTAAGTAATACACCATGTTCCTCATCTTGTCTATGACCTTAGGTATTCCCAAACTGATCATTATTTATCTGTCATTGGACATATTAAATACTTCTGGGGGTAAAACATTAATTTCAAGGACTGGGCAGATCTTAATACATGAGATAATAATGCCCTTTAAATGCTACTATTTATTTATTAAGCAGACAAAACTCCTAGGAAAACAGTTTGGGTCAGTATCAGAGGGAAAAATTAAGTTCCCACAAGCAGACATAGGGAAAGAAATGAAATTAGTATGGCCTTGAATAGCATGGAGGAGAGACTGAAAGGTTGAAATCCTTGTGCTGCTGAAGCATCTTCTCAGAGCTGGAGGTTTCAGACATTTACTAATGTCAATCAGTTCAAACCAAGTACCCATATATATTGAGGAAGATACGGGGAATGTGTGGCTGCTTTGAAAGCAGGTACAGACTCATACAGCTCCTGGGTGGTTTTAGTTTCTTCTTTTGTGGAACACATAAACCAAAATGTCCAAGTCTAACCTAGAGCAGCTGGGATGAATTCATACTCATCTACAAATGCAGCATTATACTCTGTAAGTAAAACTGATCCATGCAGTAGTTTCCTGACTTCTCTTTAATCTTTCTTTTGCAGAGCTACTCTGAAGGATGGCAGAGAGGTGTGCTTGGAGCCCACTGCTCCCTGGGTACAGATAATCGTAAAGGCAATTTTGGCCAAGTAAGTCCCATTCCCTTTTCATTTGGGCAGCTGTATGCTAAACCTCCCCAAAAAGCCAATCTGTAGGACTCTTAGTGATACTTTCCATTTTCTCTTCATCAGATATAAAAACCCAAGGAAACTTGCTGATTAATTACAGAATTAGTCTCAGAACTAGTCTAGACTCTGACTGCTGCAAGGTCCTTGTTCAAGCTAGTATGTCACTACTAAACCTTTGAGTACCAGCAATTTGCTTTGGAAGGAAAGAAACTCAGAAATTTTGGCTCCCTTTGAAAAATGAGGCTTTAAAAAAATGCATCTTTTCCTTACTTGCAGTAGCATATGTTAATACATCCTATTTCTGAGTTAGTAAGTTTCTTGATGCAAGAAAATGCAGAAACTCACACAGAAGTTCCCTAGGTGGGCACCAGATATGCACACACTAGGACTTCAGTAATTGCTTTTGAGACATCACCTTTCTTGTTTCCATGCCTCAGACAGCCCATCGAGTGGAAAAAAGACCACTCATCCTTAAATGTTAGTTCAATGCTAAGCAGTGATAAGTAACCTGGAACCCCCTTTTAAATGACTCTCTTCCCTTACCTCTTACTAGGGCTCAACTCAACTCTGACTCGCCAGTCTAAGAAACATCAGGACAAACAAGTCTGGGAACTGCTCCCACTCCTCCCTTGAGAGAAGCATTTGGGAAAAGCGTCTTTTGAGCAGTGTACCATCTGCCACCTCCTCCATCAGTGTTACTCTGTTTCCTGCGGGTTTATTTATTTATTGATTGATTGATTTCACTGCGTCTATTTAAGAAAGCCTTTTGGAATGGGCAGTGTTGCCTGTTCATCAACACTGAAGATGCTTGAATAGGAAAAGTGGTTTGATGAAGGAAATGAAGGACCCTTGGCAACCACTTCAGCCAAACACACCTGGGGAAGTGCATTGCACTTACAGAACAGCTTATTTATGCTCTTTTGCTAGAACACCAGCAAACTGATACTTCCTCCTGCTCCCTTGGAGCGCGCTAGTATGTTGTGTCAACAACAGATTCCTGAACCACAGCCAGCCGTGTACTGGGAGCTAGGATTTCTCACTTGAAAAATCTAGCCTATGAAATCTGTAAGACAGTTGGTTTGGTATTTATTTATTGTGATTTCCACGGTATTTATAAATGTATTTATTGTGTAATTTCTATACAAGAGAGAAAATTATGGTAATTTATTTAATTTCTGCTAGATTCTTCATTCCTACTATTAATTTATTAAGAACTATTCACAGACTCATTGCTCTGTACAAGGACTTGGTTGAATGTCAAATTAGCCCTTCACTCAGCTAACGGGAAAAACCTCCATCTTGCATACACAGAATTTGTTTGTGAGAGTGTCATTATTCCTAACAACGTATTATTAAATGTTTTCTATTTAAAAAATCTATTTGTTCTCTATTTGTTATTTCACATTTTCATTAGCTTTATTTGGAAACAGTCTGCTTTGGTTTTTTTTAATCACCTCAGCCTGATCCCTGGAACTGAACTGGAAATTTTTCGTACCTAGTACAGTAACTCACCCTGTTAGGGTACCCTGACATTACTGAAGGCAGTAACAAACTCTTAGGGGAGGGTAAATCACTCCCTCTCTGCTGGCTACTCCCAGTGCTTGGGGACTGGTGGGCTGCAGGGCAAGGCTCCTTATTGAAGTACCTTGCAGCCAAGCACGTCGTTCCCTCAGCTGCCAGCATCCAGATCAGCCCCAGAGCTGTAATTCTTAACTGCATCAAAAAGCCACAAACTGACTATTAAAATGGGAATTTGTGACCTTTCTTTTGATACTCAAATATCCATCATTTGCCCTTGCGTAGCACCTGCTTCCTATTCTGATACCTGGTGTGGAGTCTCAGCGCAGTTAGTAAGACAGTAGTAGTATAAAACATCCATGGTCAACAGTTCTCTGGAATCATCAGCTCAAAGTGCAATGGTGGCCAAAGAGAAGCCAGTGACATGGAGGAGAATTGAAAGAATTTAAACCCGACAGGTTGAGATAACAGCAGTCCAGTAACTAAAGTATAATACAAAACTACTACTACTACTACTACTGATGAGGGAAATAACAACGGGAGAGGATACAATTGCTCACCACCCGCCGACTGATACCCAGCCTGACCTGAGCAGCAATCGGGTCGCTTCCAGGTAGCTACCCCCAGTTTATATACTGGGCATGATGTGCTGTGGTGTGGAATACCCCTTTGGCCAGTTTGGGTCAAGTGTCCTGTCGCTTCTCGCTCCCAGCTTCTTGTGCCCCTCCTCACTGGCAGAGCATAAGAGACTGAAAAGTTGCTGCATTACTTAGCAGCAACTAAAACATTGGTATGTTATCAGCATTGTTCTCAGACTAAAGCCAAAATCACAGCACTGCACAACTAATAAGGAGAAAAATAACCATCTGAACCCAGGACATGGAGTAACGGTTGGACTTGATGATCTTCAAAGTAATTTCCCCCCTGGTTGATTCTATGATTCTATGATTGATTTCATAGGCAGAGCCTATACAAAAAGGACAAGCAATATAACTTCTAGGAAAAAGCAGATGCTAAGTTCACAGGGCATTATACATCCTGAACAAAATGCAACCACATTTTCAGGGGCATTTGCTAGCTACAGATGAACCCTAAGGTTTTAAGGGTTTTTCCATTCAACTTTGGAGTAGAGGCCAGGGAATATTTTTTGCTATAAAGCCACAGTATCGGTCATTATGGATTTTAACACCCCATCTTTCACCAAGATGAGGGATGTGTTTCAAGTGAAATGGTAACAGTTGGCATGTTTTAATGGGCCACAAGGCTCCACACTCGGGTGTAAACGGGTCTTCTTGCAAGATGGTGCCAAACAGAACTGTAACAGTGCAGAAAACAATTTCTTCTTTCATTTTTCTCTGCAGGAAGAGTTATCGAGGGTTGACAACTACACCACTAGTAAGTAGGAGAGCCAGCAAGCAAGCCCTCTTGCCACCAGAGTTCTGTTGATGGACACCACCTAAAGGAAGGTGACAGGACACAGAAAGTAGAAAGGTCAACAAACCACTATCAAGAAACATCAGGAAGTTCCTAAACAACAATAAAAAGCCTGTATAATCATAAACTCTAAGAGTGATGAAAAAATACATATGTCAACCCATGCACCTCCTCACCCATCGAGTTTCACAGCTCAATCAATGGCAGACCTGTTGCACTGTCATAATTTGTGACCTGGAAACAGAGAAACATGTGTGGGCAGCAGTTCTGGTGTGAGCCATGGAGGGTGCAAGGCCAGCATCATTCACTGCCTATCAGATACTCTGTCCTATAGCAGGCTGGAGTAAATGTAGCTCCTGCCACCAGGAAGAAGCCCCTGGGATGCTGCTAGAAGCCTCACTTCTCCCTCTGCCTGCCAGAGGCCAGTGACTGTCTGACAGTCACAGGCAGACTGTAGCTCAGACAGAGTGTGACTGGCTGTCAGTGTTGCAAAAACAGTTGAGACTGGCAGAGTATTACAGACCCAGGGGGGTTGGAACAGGATATTCTTGAAGGTCCCTTCCAACCCAAACCACTCTAGGATTCTATGAATACTCAGTCTGCAGGACAACAGGCCAGTTGTGCTCTGTACACTCGCTCCTGTGCCCTTCCTCTCTGCACACATCAGGAACAAGAGGGAATACTCATCCCTTCCCAGCCACACCATCCTGAGCAGTGACTGATGCTCCACAAGGAAGTTCTCAGCACCACAATTTTTCAACAAGACCCTGCCCAGCAGCCAGACTTACAGGCTCTGGTTTGTTGTCTGTTTCATGCACACAGGATTGAGAAGGGGGCAGAGAGGGTCACAGCAGCAGCACCTTGTCTTGGGAAAGAAAAGAGCAGAGAAAACAAATGAGAGAGTCACAGGCTTTCAAGGCCAGAAGAGACTGTTCAGCTCATCTTGTCTGATCTCCTACATCCATTAGGCCATAGAATCCTCACCTACTGTTGCTGTAGACATTTGCTAACCTAGAAGGAGAAACAGAAAACATGTTACAATAGTCACAGGGAAAGGAAAAGGAAGACTAAACTTTCATAAAGGCCTTGAGGTACCTGTAGTAGCATCAACAGGCTTATTTTCCAGCTGCTCTTTAAATTTACATCTCTGCTCTACCAGCAGACCACAGAACAAGATCCTTATCTCAGACCAGGGATCTCTGGACATCTCTCACCATTATAGTCATCGCTTTCACCTTACCTCCCCTTTACACTGAAAACCATTTCACCTTTCCCCTTTGCAGGTCAGTCCGATACACAGGGACAGCTTTCAGGACTGCAGCTTCTCCAGCAGCAGGCTGGATTCACAACACAGCTGGACCACAGCATCCTAAGACACAGCCTTGATGCACTGCAGGTCTCCCCAGTTCTCTGCTTGAAAGGCAGCATCCCATTCCTGAGGGCTCCATAGGTTGACAACACGTGCTTCTCTAGAACATAACTCCTCACTGAAGGGGAAGCGCTTTGCAAATGTTCTCACGTACAGTGTTGCAAGAGGCTGGTGTGTGGGAACAAAACACAAGTCTGCAGCTCAGTAGGACCCCAACAGCAACATACAGCTCCTTCGTTTACTTTTATGTGAACAGTGGAGGAATTCCTCAACAAAGAGCAACTACAGCCTGAGGAAGCAAGCATCTGCCAATAACTACGTGTCCCTCTAAAAGATTTCACAGTAGCAAAGATGGGAAATACGCGTTAACATCTATGTTAGTACCTATCTAGCAAAAGCAGCCTGGATAGACAAACCCCTACTTAGGAACCCAGCTCCCAAGTTTGTTCTACATTGAACTTACTACATGGACAGCTGAGCTGTCTCTTTTACTCTAGAAAGTGTGTGAACCCTGCCCCAGCTGGACAGCACTAGGACTCATGTCCCAGTCACACTCCTCCATCTACAAGCCTCACCTGGTTGATATGAGGCAGGACTGACAGGCATGTCCCAAGACACTACAAGCCTGTACATTCCCAAGAGAAAAGATCCGCATTTGTGCTCTCCAGTGAGTGTTCGTCTGAGTCCACTGACGGCATCAACAGCTGATGACTTTCAGGATCGGCTTCTCCAAGCATCTTGAGAGATCTGGAAGAAGGAAGAAGTGGAGAGTGTCTGAGATTCGCAAATCATAGACTCATGGAATAGTTTGTGTTGGAAGGGACCTTAAAGCTCACAGGGAAGAATTTCTAAAATCTCACATCAATCTCCCCTCTATGAGTTTAAAGACCCTCCTCCTTGTCCTGTCCTCACTGGCTCTAGTCAAAAGCCTTTGGGGTCGCCCCCCACCTTGTGGTATTTCCACTCCACTGCAACCTAAATCATCCTGGACTTAAAGGACAGGTCTTAGTCAGGGTTCCTAGCTGTGTTCCTAGATTAGTGTTGCTGACTTCAATTATCAGCAACTAATTATTAGTCTTTATATTGGACTAGTGATTTTTGTCTGTTCTTGAGAGACCAGGAAGAGGGCTGGAAAATGCATCACCAGAAGCGTTTGAAGTCAAAACAGACACAAAAGGTGAAGTACTAAGAAACAAACCCAATGTAAGGTTAAGAGATGAGCATATGAAATTACTTTTATTAGGATACATCTTTACAGCAAAG